GAAGAGAGTGATGAGGAGGTGAATTAATTGTTTTTTTATATATAGACAGGTGGAATGCAATCTTTCTTATCCTTGTTTTGGTTATTGGCATTATTTTCATTTCTGCAGGACGAGGACTTTGTTGTTGACAAGGATGATGGAGGTTCGCCAACTGATGATTCTGGGGATGAGTCTGATGCTAGTGAAAGTGGGGGTGAGAAAGAGGCAAGTTATTTTCCTTGATCTGTTTTAGAGCTTTGCCGTAAAGAAACACCTATGTGGTATCTCACATAAAATGAATTACTGTTTTTAGAAGCCTGCTAAAAAGGAGTCAAAAAAGGAGCCATCATTTTCTAAGGGGGCACCTTCTAAGAAGAAAACCAGAGATGGAGATGAAGATGGTTCCAAGAAAAAAAAGCAGAAAAAGAAGAAGGATCCAAATGCACCAAAGAGAGCAATGTCTGGGTTTATGTTCTTCTCACAAATGGAAAGGGAGGTGGGTTACATCTTTTGAATAATGCCATTTCGGTAATGTCTAACAATGCCACTCACTGTTGTTACATTATTTTTGGCAGAAAGAGAAAATATGTAATTGGCACTCATTGGCTGTGGATGGGGCTAGGTTTAATTTGAAAACTTATACTGTGGTCAACATGAGAAGAGCTTTATTTAAGAGAAAAAGACATGAGAAGAGCATTTCTGAAAATTTCTCTTTGAATAAGCATTCAAAAAAGTTATTTTGGCCTTCAACCTATTGATGAATTTCCTTGATGCTAGAGTGTCTATGGATCATTGTAGAGTTTAAATGCGATATCCAATATTCAGTATCAGATTGATAGGTAGGATAAGCCTTATGGACTAAAGGTCCATAAGAAGCAAACAGCACAAATTGCTTGAAATTATTTCATTTGACATTTGACATCAAATGGACCTCACAACCTTTTGTTTTGAAAAACTTCAATGAAGATCATATTCTTTTTGATAACATTGATTTCAAAAAATCCATATTTTGTCCTCTTTATGATGGGACAGGTTTTACTGATCTATTTGAGCTCTTTTTTGTGAGAGTTGTAAATATTTTGGACATGGTTGACGCCACCTGATGCCTTAACATGGTGTCTGTTTTTTCTCTCTCTCTCTCTCTCAAAAAAAAAAAAAAGAAGCATTCAGAAGCCTTTGAGTGAATCTACATTTAGAGGAAGGATATCTGCTAATTTGATTATTATGTTGAACAGAATATCAAGAAAAGTCATCCTGGAATTGCATTTGGAGAAGTGGGAAAAGTACTTGGGGACATGTGGAAGAAGATGTCAGGTATTTGGATTTAACATAATTCATCATTGCAACTGAGTTAGAAATTTACGTATTAGTTTATGTAATCATTTTTGTCTGTTCCATGCAAATGTGGGTACAGCGGAGGAGAAAGAACCGTATGAAGCAAGGGCTCGTGCAGATAAAAAGCGGTATAAAGATGAGATCAGCGGGTACAAGAATCCACAGCCAATGAACATTGACTCAGGGAATGAATCCGACAGTGAATAGTTATGGGCGAGGAAATTGTTTCAGTTATAGACTCTGGAGGTGGCAGAGTGTCAATATAGTTAATGAATACAGTTCCTTCATTGCGATGGATGTATTGTAGAAGCTTAGTTAAGATGGAAAGAATATCAGTTTGGTGATAGTTTGAAGATTTTCTTTGGGAAGCTGGCAAAGATGAGGCACATAGGTACTGGAAGACAACAAGAGAGGTGGGTGGTCGCGGTTGCATTTTGTTTGTTGCTTTGGCAAGTTAGCCTGTCCCATCTTGTTCTCAATCTCCAAATTTAGGTGAAACCAACTTCAGTTGTACTTATACTAATATAAAGCCAAGTTGGTTGTAAGCTTTTTGGATTGATATTTATATCTAGTTTCTTGATACTGTGTTAGTAAATTGTCTTTTGATCATTCCTAGAAAGGCCGTAGCAAGACTCCAATTGAGTCTCCAAAAAGCAGCACAAGGGTGTATCTTTACTATCAGCCTACAGGTCTTTTGTGCATTACCTCGGTAACTTTTTCTTGAATTTTTCTCCAGTTTTAGAAGGCTTACTTTTCCGCATCAAAATTTAGGCCGCTCATAGTTGTAATTTTTATCTTTAAGTGTTAATATGTTGATTAGAAGATGAGTTATAATGTTTAAAGAAGTGTAACTATTTAGGATTTCTTGTTCATGAGAAATCAATTTTCGTTTTTGAAAGTTTGAAAACTGAATTTTTACTGTCAAAAGAATTTTAAACTACTTTTGATGGTAATAATTCGATCACGGTTTATATGATGAGAGTTAGAAGGATGCCAACTCTTGAAATAATGACAGTATACCAAAAGGTTAAGTGATCTCTATGTACACCTCCCTTGCGTAAATTTTATTTTTTAGACACGCTAATTTTTAAGTATTAAATTTTTAGAATAATTTAAAGATTTTATGGAATAAATTTGTAAATTCATAATTAAATTATTTTCGTAATAAAATACCACTTTTTTTTTTTTTAATAGAATATTCTCTCATATTTAAAATGCAAATTTATACTTGAAATTTACAAAATAGAAGAGTTTGTTCCAAATACATTCTCAATTTGACTTAAGTAAAAAATTATGCAAATTCCACTGGAAAATAATAAATCTTATGTAAAATTTCAAATGTAATCAAAGTAGATTTTGTTAATTCTGTAGAATTCAAAACTTAATTTTCTAATTTAATTAAAAAGATGTTATATAGTTTAAGAAGAATTTTCATTATCTTAAACTAAACTGATTTTAAAAATAATTCCACAAAATTTCTTCATTTTTCCGAAAAATAAACGGCTAAAATATAACGAAACCTAATATTTTTATGCAGATATTACTAATCTAAACGGAGCGTTTTATGTACATGCACAATCAAATATTCGCTATATAATACTGCGTCAACTCCGTCGATTTCAAGCGAAATGCAGAGGCTAACACCACCTGATTCCCTCTACCAGTACTTCCCTCACCCCCTCCACTTTTCTCTCTTCAACTCCTCTAAAACCCAATGCGAAACTCACCAACTCCACGCTTTTTCCCTCAAATCCCGGCGTCTTTGCTCACCCTTCAATCTCTCTCGCATCCTCTCTCTTTATGCCGATCCGGGCATCAACCATCTTCCGTATGCTCGCTCT